CTAATTTAAATGTATTGTCATTGATTATTCCCTCGTCTCTCCACTAATTATTCGTAGACTAGTTAGCGCTCCATCTTATATATCTCTCACCAAGTGAATATAATAGTTGGAGATTTCTTTCTTTTCCAACACCCACAAAATCAAATATCGAGGTACTCCTTATAATCTTTCTCTAGATCAATAAAGACCATGTGGAGGTCTTTTATTTTCTTCCTAAACTTCTCAATCAATTGCCTAAGTAGAAAAATAGCTTCAGTTGTTGACCTCCCTAACACAAAACCGAATCGATTTTCTGATACACTCATTTTATGCCGTAGTCATTGCTCAATCACTCTCTTCTAGAACTTCATAGTGTTGCTCATAAGTTTGATCCCTCGATAATTCACACAATTCTGTATGTTTTCTTTGTTCTTGTAAATACGTACTACACTACTTTTCTTCCATTCATTTGACAATTTATTTGATCTCAACACCTTGTTGAACAACTTCGTTGGTCAGTCAATGCCAGTCTCACCCATGCACTTCCAAACTTCTATTGGGATATCATCTGGTCCTAAAGTCTTTCATAATGGTGGTCTCTCGAAAACTTAAAATAGAGGGTATTAAAAACACCCTTAAAAAGTTATTTTTTTTTATTAATTTTTTTTAATATTCATGTTCATCATGATTGAGATTCACAACTTTTAGACTTTTAGATCCATAATCTATCTCTAAGATGGATTTTGGAGGGAGGACTCATATAAGGAGATGGGATAAAGGGCTTTCAAAAACTTTATCCCTATTTAAGAGAACAATATTAAGTAGCCTAAGTTATTCAGAGAACATGTCATAAGAAAGAGGCATTTTCAAATTTTACATCTCATGTCTCCAAGTTTGATGGGAAAAAAAGGACTTATATAGCAGAAATTAGGATTATCTAGAAGATTCAAAATTTTCAAATATGAATTTTAACCATTTTTTTTTTTTTAATAAAAATAGATCTAATAAACCTTGGCTAATGACCTGCTCCAAATTAGAAAATGACCCAAAACATAGAGAGGACCCTAAATTAGGGCAGAATGAGCAAGGCAACAAGTTGAAAGAGCATACAAAAAGCAAAATTTTTTAGGGGATTTACCAAAAAAACCTCAATTTTACTTTCTAAATTTAAAAAGTCTTATGTATTACATATTTTAAACTTAATTTCCACTTTTTGAGAGCACAAGTGAATTTTAATTTTATTTTTCTATGCAGTAGATTAAGATCAAATTTGACATTTATATTTCTCACTAATGCAACAATAAAAATACTACAAATAATGACAATGAAAAGACCAAATTTCCCTTAAAAGATTTAAAAGTATTATATTTTGTACTTTTTCAGGTACAAAATGGTTAATAAATATGTATGCTCCCAATTTGAGCTTAATGAAAAAATAAATAAATTTAAAATTTCCATACACTCCCAAAAGTAAGATGTTAGCATAAAATATGAAATATAAAAGACTATTTTTTAATATTAAAAACAAAATAGGATGATGATGCAAATTTCTCCTTTTATATAATGTTGGTACTGCATTCTCTTTTATATGGGGTTGGTACTCAACCTTTGGAAGGGTGCTTGTGTACCCTTCCACTTGTCCACATGATGTGGATGGCGTACGTTTCATAGTAGAGAAATTTGCGCACATGCACTTTGAAGCATGTTATTATAAAAAATCCCCGCATTTTATTTTTTATTTTTATGTTAACCATATTTTTTTTGAAAATACTTCTACTTTGGAGCTTTACTGCCCAAAGTGAGAAGATAATTCTTAGCTTCAGTTTTTCAAAATCCAAAGTTCAAGACTTGAAGTCTTCACCTCATGCCTTCAAGGTATGACGCCATTTGTCTTCAAATAAATTGAGACAGCAGGGGCTTTTAAGGTTTGAAGTCAAACCTCACCATCTAAATGACTTTAAATCCTAAAGATCTAAAGTCATTTCTACAAAAAATTGACTTTGGACCTCACTAAGGTTTGAAAACACAATAAAAAACTTGACTTTAGACCACGAAGTTCCGAAAAGATCTATAGTCATTTTGACAAAAAATTGATTTAACACCTCACAAAAAATCACTGAAGAAAAAAAAAAAAAAAAAGAAAGACTTGACTTCAAACCATGGATGTCCACACTGTAAATAAATTGTTCAATACTTCGGTTTGGTGTCACATTATTGTCGAGGCCCGAATTAGGGATTTTTTAAGAGAAAATTTAAAAACAACAAGCAGTGTATGAATGTAAAAAACAAAAAATGGTGGCACTTTCATAGTAACGTCATTCTAGGAGGAGACAAGCGTAAATTTTATGTATAATAAAGGGAATGTTTATTTATAATAAACAAGAAGAGCCTTTATGTTTCCACTCGAGTCTTATGCTTGAGATCACTATTTGATGTTAATCTTGGTTGAAGCATTTCAATGAATTTCTAACGAAAAAAATAATGTCTTGTACGGTGGAGATATATATTTTTTAACCTCATTTGATTACTATTCAAAGTTAGTTGCCTTTGTTTAAGTACAAACATTTTATTAAAATCAAAAAAGAAATATGCATGGAGAAAAGTGAGGAGGGGAGTAGAAAAAGAAAAAGAGCATGCTATTGCTCATAGCTCGGGACTCTCGGCAATTTCTCATGCTTTAAGCCATATTCATCCATGGTTCATGCCTTTTGTGTGTCACCCAAGTGCACATCTCACCCTCTTTTACCATTTTTAAATGCTTTCCCCATTTTATTTTTGGGTGAGGTTTGTATAAAGTATCAACCTTATGCAATCACGATAAGGTGCACATCAAAATCTTATTAAAAGATGTATTTTCGGTGCCGAAACTTTTATCATGGTCTAAAAGTCTTTTCACCTTTATTATGAAATTGAAATATCCAAAAATTGTGCAGATCTAGCGGAGCTATGAACATTTGAAAATCTTAAAAATGGACCGTCCAAATAACATGTTACAAGATGTACTATACTTAAAATTCATTTTTCTTTCATATCCATACAAATCGAGGTCAAGATGATTAATTGGAGAATTTTCTAGTGACAAAACAACATTTTTTTTATGGATTTTTCAGGTGCACCTTACTTCTACAGAATAAGATTGACACATTATATAAACTTTTCCCTTTGCTTTTATACTAGGAATGATTAAGAACTTAAGACAAATGAGAATGTTATTTCTCATAGAGAGAGAGAATAAAATAAGTTTATGTATGTATGAGAGAGAGAAGCTTGAAATCGTAGTGGTAGTACCACTTCCATCTCAATCAAATGTCACAACCTCCATTCTCACTAACACTTTCAATTCAAAACAAGAGAATGGTACAAAATGTGAGAGGGAGGGAGGAGGGATTTCACAAGGGTATAAAAATCGGCAACGTCCAAAGAAAAGAAAACAATAAATGTGCATTCATTTATTCAATTTTAGTTGCGCGTGGTCCTAAGTTTCTAACTATGTATCCTACGCGTGAGAAGAAACAAGTCCGGAGACTATTCTAAGAAGAATCCCAGTCTGAAAATGACGGGAATATCCCCTCGCCTACGACGATGATATTTGCGAAAATGACCAAAGTAGTCTTCCTTTCTCCACCTCCTTCCAAATGACTAAAGAACAATTGTTTCGGATTGGATCGCATTTCTATAATATGCTGTCCAGGGGTAGAAAGCATCCACTTTAAAGAGGGATGAAAATAGGCGGTTCATCTAAAACCAATTGTAACTTAACTAATGGTCTAGATGTTTTTTAATACAATTATTATTTTTAGTTTTTAATTTTTTTTTTATATTCATGATCTTTATGCCAAAGATTATAGATTAAATATATTTAAAAAATACATTTATTGCCAAGCCTGCATTTCTAAACTATGCTGGCTAACCGCATCCTAACTGCATCCATGATTAAATAACTTGTGCTCTGAACGACCACCGCTTATATTTCTAGACTAACTAAATCAGGTCACATAGGAGTTGCAATGGGACAGTAGTCCCAGCCGGCCCAATCTACTGGGCCCTAAAAGAGTAAGGCCCACAGTGGCTCAAGGGTCGGTACCAGCCCAATTCGGCCCTTGCGACCCTTAAGATCAAGGACAATAATGGCCTCATGATATCTATCCATATCTTTCATTAAGAAGAGATGAGAAAGCAAAGTCCTTTAAGGAGAAGGAGAATAAATGCGAGTCTATCCCTCTTGACATGGCGGTTGCTTCCAAAATAGGGTCGAGTGGTCAAATTTGGGTTACATTCGAAATGTCAAAGGCAGCCAAAAGAGAGAGGAAAAAAATAGAACGAAGATAAGGGAATTCAAAATTTAGAACCCATAAGAAATTTGATTGTAGGAAGAGAGACCGAAAGGCACAATTAGTGGTTTTTCGAAACTGTTTGTAGGAATAAAAACCACAACTTCTCAAAAAAATTAGTGGGAATGAAAATCACAACATAAAACGAAGATATTGTATGTAAAAGAGAGGGGACACATAGTTTATTACAGCTACTCCATCGATGCGTCTAGGGCGAGACATAGATAGAGAGATGAGGATTTAGAGAGAGAGAAGGGCAAGGGAGGTTTTAGAGATTCAAAGAATGAGTTTCTCCATGAGCTCAGGCTTCACATGCATTACTTAAAGACAGTGGAGGGCGCCACGCTCGCTTCACACCAAAAAGCCCAACCCCCTTGACCCAATCAACCAAACAACCATTCTTTCTCTCTCCTCTCTTTTTCTCTCTAGATTGGCCCCTGTAAAAGGGTCACACGCGCGGAAGGGCATTTCGACCTGGGTACCATGGACTCCTCCCATGCTTGTGATGCAAGCAAAGCTGCAGCTCAAGAGGCGCTATCTGACGCTGATGCGCACGTGTGGGACCCATAGTGCTTGCCTCCTTCACACGTGTGTAAAGGAGACTTTGATTACAAAGCAAGGGCCCCCCTTTCCTAGCCATCATATATAGGGGAAGGTGAAGGGGTGTCCAGCGTCTTTATTTGTCGACACAGCTTTCATTGTTGCAAGTGAAGAGAGAGAGAGGGGAAGAGTTGTGTGTTTTAGAGAGAGAGAGAGAGGGGGGGAGAGTGTGGGTTTTAGCGAGAGAAACAGAGGGGAAGAGTGTGTGTGTTTTAGAGAGAGAAAGAGAGATGGGAAGGCAACCCTGCTGCGACAAAGTAGGGCTGAAGAAGGGACCCTGGACTGCTGATGAAGACAAGAAGCTCATTAACTTCATCCTCACCAACGGCCAATGCTGCTGGAGAGCTGTCCCCAAACTAGCAGGTCTCTCTCTTTCTCTCTCCACCGTGGGATATGTTCCAAAAAAATCAAGTATTGATTACAAGTATTGCTTGATTTAAGCTTTGAAGAGAAGTAAATTCTGGACTTTTGGAATCTAAAATGAATATGGGTTTTGAGATTGGATTGTTTATCTTTCATTACCGTTGGAAGCTTTTTCTCTGTTTTATTTTCCATTTGAATTTGATTTCATCATTCTTCTATACATATTTTTTTAAGAGGACTTCGGGGAGGCTATGGTATCGTATATTTCAATTTGTCTTTAAAATGGTTGGATTCTTTTGGCTTAGGTGGTCTTTTCCATCTTTTTCCTAAAAGTCCAGAAAAAAATACCTCAACCAATTTGAATCCTGGAAATCCACGTTACTAATATTCTTTTTACTCTCTTTCTTTCTGTGGTCCTCATCCGAGTCTTATTCCCACTATTTGGATCGACTTATATTAAAGCTATATAAATCATGTTCTCTTACTGTACCCTCTTCAAAATTATCAAAAGATTGTGGCAAAGTTTTACCGTATCTTCCCTCTTATTACCCTCCTCCTTTACCTCATATAACCCTCCTCCTTTGTCGGAGCTTAAGACTTAAGACTGGCATGACCGGCTTGGAACCAGTCACAAATATATAAATTTCCCATAATCGAAATTCTTTTGGTTTATTCTCTGTCTAGAAAAGCCCACGTCGTATTTAAAAGGCTGAAATATTTGAATTACTTGATGAAATTTCTTGTTGAAAGTTAACCTATGTGATTTCAGGTCTTCTAAGGTGCGGAAAGAGTTGCAGGCTAAGATGGACAAACTACCTGAGGCCTGACCTCAAGAGGGGCCTGCTTTCTGAATCCGAGGAGCAGATGGTCATTGACATCCATGCATATCTTGGTAACAGGTCTCTCTCTCCCGTCTCTCTCTCCATTTAAAAGCAGGGTTGGATCCTACTGCCGAATTAAGGTTTAGGTTTTCATTATAAAAAAACCATCACCTATCACATTAAAAAAAACATCGAAATGAAATGAGTTTAGGTTTTCATTATCACCTACCACATTAAAAAAAACCGTCAAAAAATGAAATGAATAGAGGCTTGTCGTCCTCGTTACCTAAAATAAGGAGGCGTTTATTGAGAATTAAGCTTGCATTTACTAAATTTGGAATGTTCTCTCTCTACAGATGGTCCAAGATAGCTGCACATTTGCCCGGAAGAACCGACAATGAGATCAAGAACTACTGGAACACTCACATAAAGAAGAAGCTTAGAAAGATGGGTATCGACCCGGTGACCCACAAGCCCATTGCCTCTTCTTCCCCTGCAACAACAGAGGAAAAACCTGCTGATTCTCTCTCCAAACCCGAAGAAACCCCATTGAATTTAGCCCTGCCAGAAACCCAAGAAAAAGCTCAATCCAATAAGTCAGAACTCGCGGAAGAAGAGACCAGCATAAACAGTGGTGCACCTCTAGTGAAGCCCACATTCTCCGATAAAAGCCCAGAGTTTTTCTGCACAGATGAGGTGCCACTAATTGAACCCCATGAAATCATGGTTCCTTGTGCTTCTACTTCTTCTTGTTGTTCTTCTAGCTCTATGTGGAACAATGAAGAATCGCCCTTGCACCTACCTGATATCATGTGGCAAATGCATGGGATTGAAGATTTAGAGGAATGGGACTGGAATTCAGACCTCTGTTCAATTTCTAGTAATGGAGGAGCCGATCCATTTGGACAGTATCAGAGGACTCTGTTTCAGTTTGATCAGATGCTATAACTATGAGAAAGTGAGAGAGAGAGATGGAATGCGTGTAATTAAAGAGAACAAAAGAGAAGCAAAGGTTTCTTTTTACTGTGTATTAACTTTTAACTTACGATTGATGTGTTTGTATGGGACAATAATGAATGAAGGGCGAAAGGGAAGGGGAGAGAGAAACCCATCATGAAATTTAGAAGTTTTCCTTGAGCAGATTGATTGATGGAGATTTTTCTCCTCTTCCATTTGTTTTTTCTTTTCTTTTTCCTATTTCCTAGTTCGGTTGTAAAATCAGGCCATTTTTGCCTGAAGAAAAAGAAAAAGAAAGCAAAAAGCGAGAAAGAAGCCAATGTCAAAGATGACTTGCTTCCAAAAGAAAATATTTATGGATAAATATTTATTCTGTTAAATTGTATGAAGTCTTTTTTTTCTTTTTTTATTTATTTTTTAAAGTATGTATGAAGTCATTATTGACTCATAACTTTGATTCCCTCCCTCAAAATCCCTAAACATTTAGTGTTTTATTTTGCTTCAATTTTTCTGTGTTGTGCTGTAAATATTCTTCTTGATTCGATAAGGATGCCACTATACAACGTTTATGGGAGAACAGTATTTTCATCATCCATAGGTTTAAAAGCCGTTCAATTTTTTTGGACAACGTGGATAAATCGATCTCACCTGACATATTTTTCATGCGAAAAACATAGGAAACCACAACAGCTCTACGAAAACTGTTACGACTTTTCAAGCAAAACCACAACGGCAGAGGCAAAACACTATTTTTTTCGCCCTATGACAGTTTTACTAAATTTCACCAAAATTTGGTTATCTAATTCTTCCTTTCTCTTTCTCGCTTTTAAGACTAAACAAAACTATGTGCAAGTATCTGCGCATTGTTCATAAGATCATTAATGAAACATGAAGTGTAAATATACACGTATGTGCTCATAGTTCGTAAGATAATTAATAAAGAAACATGAAGTGTAATTTTTAATCAAATAATATGAATAAAACAGTAATCATTATGGCGGCCATGATGGTGATGGATTTATTTTTAAATGGAATTTACAGGTGAAAAGCCATCACAACGACCTGCTTCACTTCCTAGCAGAGAAGCTAATACATTGCATTAGCATTCAATCAATTAAATTATTGGAACATGCCCTTTTTCAACCTTGAAATATCATATTAAATCATTAAATATCTTAAATAGCTGTCCATGAATTATCCAAGAATTGAGCAACAATTATTTGAATCATTATACAATGGCTTTGTGTAAGTCAATGTAGCCAGTAACATCTTTTGGCTGCATCAAGCCAATTAACCTTCTCTTTTCAATATTCATAATTAGTATAAAAAAAAAAAAAGATTATTGGATTTTTTTTTTCGTCCCACCTCTATAAGAGCTTGTAGCTATTTTTTTTTTCTTGGCAACCATCTATATATTATGTTGTTACAACTGCCACCCTGACCACTTTTGCCTAGAGCGCATTCTCATTTTAAAATTTTAATTGGAGAAACATACTCGGTGCATCAAGATCCATATATCTTTTTGTGCACATGTTGAAATCTGTATGATCCACTGTTATCGGAGGGTGCATTTCGCACCCAAAATCCTATGTCTCAATTTCTGTGCACCGTCATTACAGTGTAGATTGTAGGGCTTGCACTAAAGCAAAAGTGTTTTATAAGCCAGCCTACTTACTAGCCCGCACAATCACAAAGGCTCATCTTTCATATGAACATCCACAACTAAAGATTCCTATCCAATGGATAGAAAAATATTCTAATAAAAATATTTACAATTTTTATTTTATATTATATTATATTTTTTATATTCATGATCATCATAGTGTAGATCATGGATCACCACAAATTTGGATCCAAGATCCATAGAAATAATGGGTATTCAAGGGAGCCCACATGAAAATACTATGTGTCGAGGGGCTCATAAAAATCCTGCACTAAAACCAGATCCTTCAACTAGTCGCGTGAATCAACATCACTTGTTTGGAAAATATGGGGCATATCTCTATTTTGATTTTACTATAGTATCGTCACTAGGTCAACAACTCAGTTATGCTATTCTTATTCTCTCCATTGATCCTTTTGATGGACTGTGGAGGAACGATACCACACATTGGACGGTTAAGGAGTGATAGGAAGGAAACCCAAGTGATAGTTTCTTAAAACACTGTACCTTTACTATTATTAAACCCCAAGAGAAAGTTTCTTAATACATGATACCTTTACTATTATTAAATCCCAAGTGATAGATTCTTAATTCATGATACCTTTACTATCACTAATACGATATTTATTTGTTTATGTGGTTTGCTCAAGACCTTTACGATAAAAAACAGTGTTTAAAAAAGAGGATCGGTGACCCGAATAGTTCACACCCATGCCCATGTCGGATTGGTGGTTAAGTTTGGAGAATCGACCTAATCAATAGTTTTTGTCACAATTTGTTTTTCAAAATATCACTATAAATCTCTAAAAAATAGTGTTATTTAACTTTGCAAAAGAAATTAGGAGTTGTGCATTAGGTATTTCTATTAATTTGTAAAAATAGGTGAATACTGAAACATTGTTTCCACATCTGGATCTCTGTATAATTATTAATTCTAATATAATATTTATATTATTTCATCAAAATAATTTAAAAATATTAAAAAAACTTCCATATTATAAGATTAAACATAATAATTTTCCATATGAAGTGAAATTAGTATCGCATCAAAATATCAAACAAATATTACTTCGCTTTACTCATCCAAAATTAACACAACCTAACTAACTATAATATTATATACTGAAATTGAAATTGTTGGTTTATATTTTATTATTATTTTACTATACATATAAGAACAAGTCTAGAATATTTTATAATATCATCTAATTTAAAAAATCTTATTGATAAGTATAATAAAAAATAATAAATTACATAATTTATAATACAAATAAATTAATAAAAAATAGAAGACTTGGTTATCAATGTATAAATATTAATTATGATATTATGATAAACATGATTAAGAAATTATTAGATTGCATAATAATTTTCAGAAAAACACTATAATTCTCAAAAATCTAGTTTTTTAGGTTTCTTAAAGAAATAAAATTGTTTTTTTAATCCAATAAGCTAATAATATTTTTAAAAAGAAAATACTGCAGTAAAACTTGATTTTCAAAACCCTGATTGGTACCATGGATGGAGTTTTTATTAATTATTAAAAGTTCGAAGAGGTTGTATTTTATTTGTAAATAATTTATATCAAGGTCTTGGGCTTTTTTGCACAATTATTTTTCTAAGTCTCTCTATCCATGAGGAACTCTCTCTTTATTTCTCGTCACTTAAAACCCTCTCGATCTCTCTCTGGCTAAAACTCAATTTCTACTTCTGTCTCTAGGTATCTCTCTCAGGTAGAACTCCACAGGTAGAACTCTCTCTCTCATGTGGAGTGGTAAGGGAATTGTCCCACATCCAAGAAATGTGGGAGCCATTCGTCATATAAAGACCATGAACTCAATCTTCTAATTGCCGGTTATGGAAATCGAAATGGCTACGGAAAAGCTGCGAAAGATGATTAACATGCTGGAAGCAAAAGGCAAAGTTTACGGAATTTGTAGGGTTTGACGCCCACGGTCCTTTTCGTTTGAGGCCCGAAGTCTCGTCCGGGCGACACTCGCGATGTACGAAGTTTGGTGAAGCCTTGCCATAAGACCTACTTAGGAAGATCCTATTCGAACACCAAAACTGCGAAAAAAATATATTGATGTCTATTATTATAACGAAGTTTTGTGAAGCCTTGCCATAAGACTTACTTAGGAAGATCCAATTCTAACACCAAAACTGCGAAAAATATATTGATGTCTCTTATTATAAAACTTAAAAGTTTCACACCAAAACTGCAAATTATTATAAAACTTAAAAGTTTCACACCAAAACTGCAAAAAATATATTGATGTCTCTTATTATAAAACTTGAAGCCTTGCCATAAGACCTACTTAGGAAGATCCTATTCGAACACCAAAACTGCGAAAAATATATTGATGTCTCTTATTATAACGAAGTTTTGTGAAGCCTTGCCATAAGACCTACTTAGGAAGATCCAATTCTAACACCAAAACTGCGAAAAATATATTGATGTCTCTTATTATAAAACTTAAAAGTTTCACACCAAAACTGCGAAAAATATATTGATGTCTCGTATTATAAAACTTGAAGCCTTGCCATAAGACCTACTTAGGAAGATCCTATTCGAACACCAAAACTGCGAAAAATATATTGATGTCTCTTATTATAACGAAGTTTTGTGAAGCCTTGCCATAAGACCTACTTAGGAAGATCCAATTCTAACACCAAAACTGCGAAAAATATATTGATGTCTCTTATTATAAAACTTAAAAGTTTCACACCAAAACTGCGAAAAATATATTGATGTCTCTTATTATAAAACTTAAAAGTTTCAAAAAAAATAGGAGGCGGATATATGCAAAGTTAGGCGGGATATATGCAAAGTTAACTTAACGATTAAAAAAAAGTTAACTAAAACTTAAAAGTTTCAAAAAAAAAAAAGTTAACTAAAACTTAAAAGTTTCAAAAAAAAAAAAAGTTAACTAAAACTTAAAAGTTTCAAAAAAAATAGTACACATGTGGCGGATATATGCAAAGTTAACTTAAAGTTTCAAAAATAGTATGCATGTGGCGGATATATGCAAAGTTGTAATAAATGGTTCTCCTATTATTTGGAGGATTTCGGCGATACTCGATATAAAAAGTTGAGGCCTTTCCATAAAACCTAATTTGGAAGTCCAATTCTAACAACAAAACTCGGAGAAATATATAGATGTCTCTTATTATAAACTTAAAGTTTCAAAAATAGTATGCATGTGGCCGATATAAGAAAAGTTGCAATAAAGCTTACGGACTTTGTGCGGTTGACGCCCACGATCCCTTTAGTTTGAGGCCCGAAGTCTCGTCCGGGCGACACTCGATATACGAAGTTTTGTGAAGCCTTGCCATAAGACCTACTTAGGGAGATCCAATTCTAACACCAAAACGGCGAAAAATATATTGATGTCTCTTATTATAAAACTTAAAAGTTCAAAAAAAATAGTACGCATGTGGCGGATATATGCAAAGTTAACTTAAAGTTTCAAAAATAGTATGCATGTGGCGGATATATCCAAAGTTGTAATAAATGGTTCTCCTATTATTAGGAGGATCTCGACGATACTCGATATAAAATGTTGAGGCCTTGCCATAAAACCTAATTTGGAAGTCCAATTCTAACACCAAAACTCGGAGAAATATATAGATGTCTCTTATTATAAACTTAAAGTTTCAAAAATAGTATGCATGTGGCCGATATAA